TTCTCACGGCACACTATCATACTTCTTGTGTGATTAAAGCCAGTATCTAAAGAACGACTTGGTTTCCTGATTTTTCGACTTGAGAGGGAATTACATGGTCCAATTATGCATTTTTTTGGTTTGTTGTTGTCAGTTTGATGCAGAGTCTGTAACATGATTTAGAGTTTTTTTTAACAGTTCAGCTGTCCGATGACAGTGGGGAATCTGTTACGGAATCTGCTGGACCTGCATCGAATGCTGTGAAGCCTCTTCCCAGAGTGCAGCAAGGAAAGCTGTCCATCCATGGTGGGGGTGTGAGGGGTCATTGATAATGTTAGGGCTCTGGACATGCAGCACTGGGATGAAATGTCTTTAATGGAAGGAAGAGGAGCCCCGATGATCCTCTCTGCTGTTCTTACTACTCTTCTCACCTTCTGAGGCACTGCAGCCTCCACACCACACAGTGAGACAGCTGGTCAGAACGCTCTCTATGGTGCTTCTGTAGAAGGTGGTGAGGATGGGTGGGTGGGGGCAGGTGGGCTCTCCTCATCCTCTGCAGGAAGTACATGCGTTTTTGTGCTTTTTTGACCAGTGAGGTGGTGTTAACAGTCCAAGTGACGTTGTCTAAAGACAGTAGACATGAAACTTGGCGAATTGTTGCCAGTCTCTTGATCAATGCAGGTAAAATAATGAGCGGGTGGTAGGGTTACGGATGTCCCAGGATGCCCCATCAGCCAATCGTATTTGATGGCGGACAGAAAGTAACATCATTATTGGACGGTGTGTCCCATCCCGTACATTAATCTGTTTCAAAGCTCCTTCAGTCACATACTGCTGCATCCTCAGTGCACAACAGATCATCATCGCAGATCTTTCCTTCTAGCAGCGATTAGACTTTATAATCATCAACAAACTCAATAAGTTCAACATTTCTGTTTTCATTTTTTGTGTTATAGAAACGATCTGTTTTAAGCATATTTCTTGGGATTACCCACTTTATTTTCACTCTTTAATTTTGGATTATTCTAACACTAGTGACAATATTTTTTTCCGTCTATTCTGTCTCTACTGCTTCCATTTGTTTTTCATTTAGCTGCTTGGACGCTCTTCTATTCTCTGAAAGTGAACGATGAGTGTCTGTTTATAGTCAGACGCTAACCTTGAGTTAGACGCTCATCCAGCCAAGCCTTATCTTTGCGAAGGATTTCTGCCTGCCTGTGAAATGAAAACAAACAAAAGCCTTTAAAAGAATTGCATGTGTTTTTCAGCTATTGACACATGGAAAAAGACTCCTCTGCAGTCAGCGTCTGATGACATCACAATGTGGCGATGTCGGCAAGCTTTAGTCCTGATTCAGAAAACACGCACAAAGCGGCCGTGATGAACCCAAATATACAGACAAGACGGATGCATTTGTTTTAAAATGAGGATCTGATAACTTTTGTTTTTTTGTTCATTGACCTATTTTAAGTCCAACACAGCTTTTTAAATTTTTTTTAATCTGCCCTCATGCACCTAACAAAAAAAAAAATCCAGCAAACTAATATTTTTTAAATTTGTCACAATTCAGTTCTCAGTCCAAAAACAACCACAATGATCCTTCCTGGCTGCTTCAGGACCAACGACCTTCAAGACTTCAATAGCTGTGAGGGTTAAAGGCTGACAAAACAACTAAAACAATTCTCCCTGCCAGCTGTCTGTGCCCTCGTCCTGCTTGATCTAAGCTTGTTTTCCTGATATTTCAAATTCAAATTATGCACAGAAACCTTGAGCTCACCATGCAGGGACAGGGAGACTTTCAACGGTTTGGAATCTTGCATCATTAACAATAACCTGAAACTTTATTTTCAGTTCCTTTCAGAATTCCCCTCTGAACTGTTAGATGCAATGTTTGTGTGCTTACAGCATATCTTGTGTTTCTATTCAAATAAAACTGAAGAATTATGTTACGTAAATATATTTCTATAATACATTCCTATTCCCAATAAGCGTGTTAACAAAAATAATTATATTTAATACATTAACATAATTTAACAGGTAAGTAGTTTGTGTTGCACTATAATTGATAGATCATTGAATATTAATAAATAAAAATGGTAAAGAAGCATTAGAAACAGCAATACTGAAAGGAAATGAACAAGTTTGGTTGTACTGGTCAGACATGGCCACCATATAAAACAATCGATTTTCTTCCTCACAGACTGTAAAAGAGAAAATGGGTCTGTACTCATTTCACCTGTTTACGTTTGTCAGGATGTGTAAATAATGCACTGCTGTGTGAAGGAAAGAGTCTCATTTAAGAAGTGAGTAATGGGTTAAGATGAAAAAAAAAAGGAACAATTTAAGAAGAAAAACGTGTTTGCTGCAATGTGCCTCAGCAATGGGAACTAAAATTTTAGGAATAATGTCACATCTGACTTTACCCTGTTCTGTTTGTACGTCTTAGAGACATTTAGATATGTTAACTGTTTTTAACACTTGCTGCAAAGTAGAGTGTTCAGAAGGTCAGAAACTGGACTCTGCCATTCTGTCTGTAACATTAATTTAAAATAAACATTGGATGGATTTTTATATTCCTGCCGCTTTTACTGATCCCTTTACTTTTTACATGTTTACTTACCTTACAAAGAAACCAAACTGAACCACACTTGGTTTGTTTTTTTTATATAAAAGAAAATTAAACAAAACAGTCCAGAATGACACATGCTTTTTAAACAATCTTAAATCGACCCATCCATCTACCTTCTCCCTCAATCTTGTCAGAGTCGCGCTGTGGCCTGTGGTCTCTGGCAGTCTATGGGCGAGAGGCGGGGTACAACCCGGACAGGTTGCCAGTCTGCTGCAGAGACACACAGAGGCAACCATGCACTAACACCTAACAGTCATGTTTTTGGACTGTGGAAGGAAGCTGGAGTACCCTGAGGGAACCCATGCATGCAGAGGGAGAACATGCAAACTCCATGCTGAGAGGCCCAGGGCCAGGGATCGAACCAACAACCTTCTTGTTGCCATTTTCTAAAAGGCAAAAAATAAATATTACAATCCCACAGTTACTGAAGCACCTACAGTATGCTGAGGTATTTCCACCATTCTTCTCTGCTCCTCTTCAGCTCAGTCAGGGCGTTTAAGAAGACAACTATTTAAGGTCTAAGCTTTGGTTAAAAACATCGACATGCGGCTTCTGAAGTCTCTTCTTAATTTTTATCTGTAATGTGCTTCAGGTAATTTCAAGATAAATCGCCACCCTAGTCTGAGCTTCAGAGTGTTTTTGGCCACTGACCTCTGAGCAGACCTGCCACCTAGCTCCCAACAGTGATGCTGCCCCCACTATGCTTCATAGTAGGGGTGGTGCTAGCATTGTAATGGGTAATTCTCCTGATATGAGGAGCCCTGGTTTGTTATTGTTAGACCTCCAGCTCCAAGGATCCCTGAGGTATTTTTCAGCAAAATTCAATGAAGGTCCTGGAAGTTTCAGACTTCTTCCATTTCTAAATAAATAAGAGCACAGTGCTTTTTGGTTTGTTTAGAGCTACTGAAGCCTAATCGTATACTACAGCAGATTTGTGAGTTGACACAGTCTAGTCTCTCTAAAAGTCTACAGATCCTTCATGAATTTGTTCAATGATTCCATACGCGCACTCAACTGTAAGACCTCATATAGACAAGATCCAGTCATGTTCGATTGCAAAAAGGTAGATACCATTAACGTTGTAGAAATACCTGAATAATGAAGTGGGCCATTAATCAACAAATTTATTTGGTTAACCAAACCACCAATAAAAATAGTTACTTATGGTTTACTAATCTGACGTTTAAGCTGTAGTCTAATGTAGTCTATGGACATAGAGAATAATTACAATGATGTGTGCATGTACAGCATGCAAATCTTGGCTTTAACAGTCGTATTAAATAGTATTCAATTCCAAGAAGTGTTTGTGCCAACAGTGGTATCATACATGGGAGTTTGCCCTACGATCAAAGGAATGATGGTTCAAGTCCTGGTCCATCTTTCAGTGTTTTTACATTAATTAAATAATGTCTTGGTCAACGCGACCAATTTCTATTGGTTTCCCATTTCATCAATACAGATTGGTTGAAAACACTACCAAATTAGATTGTTCTAATCAAAAGATTGGTCACAAACACCAACCAGATGGCTAAAACCAATTTTTTGGTTGTATTGGCCATCTGTTATTAGGGTGTGGAAACAGGGTGCAACGGCAGGTTTGGGATTTTATTTGTAAATGATGTGAATACCAATGTACTTGTTTTCATTTATATCTTTCCATACATTAACACACACACACCAGTTGCAAGTCAGAAGAAAAGCAGAGCCGTCATCTCACCATTTGATTTTAATGGAAAAGCTGTCTACCATTAGCAATACAAGCTAATAACGTCTTCCTCTGCAGTTATTTAGTCAGAATTTAAGATTAAAAGGCAACTAAAACGCTACAACTCTGTTTTGGGTCCTATTTATCCATCTAGAATATTCTTGTGGGTAAGACCAATAGCTGACTCAGTTTCTTTGGGATTGAAGTAAGGTGTTTGTACACATGCAAGACGTAGTAGTTGCTATATATTGTCTGCAATAGTGTGTACATCCTGTGGCTCAGCTGCTGTATCCTAAAAAAATCCCAGAGGATCACTTCCTTACCGTCAGCCACACATAAAGCAACAATTATCAAGACATCTATATTTGAATGGCTGCAAGAAGCAAAATGAAAGTTAACTGCTTGGTTAAAGTCCTGACTCCATGATGCTTTAGGAGGATTTAGCAGGACGCTTTATGCTTCTCCACGTCTAGACATTTGTTAATCTTTCTCCCACGTAAAATTAATAATAAAATATACAAGTATGTGTCCTGGACTGCAGTAAGTTTTCCCTGAAACATTTGCAAACACACTTTAAATAAAAACAAATATATCATTTCCTTCCTCAGTCCACTATTTATCTTAAGAATCCACATAAACAATCTTTTTGGTCAACAAATGAACATTTATTCATAGTCATTACAGATGAGGACAGTCTGCAAACACACATATGCTGAAAGTGGTTTGAATTATTTTTTTGTTCAAACAGCAAGCAGTTACAGCAGAAATATCATCTCTTCATTACAGCCTCTCACTTATACATCTTTTTAATGCTCTTTACATTAAAACAGAACCCAAAACCTCTCCCACTCTCAAAAACTAACCTTCAGGAAGGTTAGTACACATTTCCACTCAGGATATATATTTACAAACAGCTGTTTACATTGTTTTCACACCGTTTGAAGGTTCACTAATGCTCCATTCTCTCTACGGGTGTCACACAGAGTTTTAAGTTGGTGATGAATGTCTAACACCCGTTTTATTCCCCATAAGACCTGAGCCAAAGAAAGGATCACAAACAAGAGAATGAATCCAACTAAACAAACAGAACAAATAAAATGCAAATTACCGGATGAGTGAACTTTAACAGCATGACATGGCGTTAGTAATGGGTTCCATTTGGAAGAAAAATAAATCACTAATTGGGTTTTTTCACTACATTTTCCTCCAAATCCACAACAGCTTCCAGCACATCCTCCCAGGCTGTGCTTCAAATCAAAGGTGCTGTATGCTCTGCAGTTCTCTAAGAAATAAATCCCAAAAATCAGCAATACAACTAAAAGTCAAGCGGAGGAAAATGTGATTAGATTACAAGGCTTTTTTAAATTGACATTTTTTGTTCACACTGATAAATCAAACAATAAAAGCAGAAAGTTAAGGAAAAGAGAGTAAATGCTTAAATTAACATCTTTTCTTTTTACAAATGAATTATTCTGAATAAATCTTGATTCATGTCGTCTTTCACAACCAAGCTGTAACAGTAGTAATATCTTGAGAATAAGAAATAAAGCATGAGCCTGTTTTCACATGCTGTTAAAAAACAAAAAAGTTTTTCTAGTTTTAAACAGTGAACTGAAATGTCTCTCTGGAAGGGAAAAGATAAAGTCCAATCATTCACACACACACACACACACACACACACACACACACACACACACACACACACACACACACACACACACACACACACACACACTTTAAGATCTGTACATCACCTCAACAGTTTCCAGTGTGACCTCAACAGAGACAGTGTTTGTTTGGAAAAGTATGGCTGAAATGTGCACTCGGAGAGATTCAGTGTCTACACCACCCCCTCGATGAAACCGGTGTCCAGGTGAACGATGAGCATTCGCAGGAAGGACATCTCTTTACGTGTGTTCTCGAAGATGATCCGCGGGTCGTCCGAATGGCATCGGAGGCAGTTGGGAGCCATCACCATGGCCAGGTTGTTCACATCCATCTTGGTTATGGCGACGTTGGACGGCTGGGCAAATACCTGGTAATGATAATGATGGTGGTATTAGAAGAAGGTATGAGGAAGGCTCCAGCTGTGTGCTGACTGACCTTTAACCTTTAAAAAGCCCCTCTGACAATTATATACTCTTTCAATAACTGACCATGTTAGTTGTTATAAGATTACAACACAGCCTTAACTTTCCAATCCTATTTTATAAATACATATAAAAAAAAAAACAATGAATATCTTGAAATAGTAAAAAACTTGGTTTATATACATCTGTGATGGTGCTTTCAAGTACCGTAATAAAAATTTTACACAAATTTTAGTTAGATTATCTTATCTGCTTCAGAAAGGTGACTGAACATTAGCTAGGTATTAGCTGATCACCCAAATTTAAGGATATTGGAGCTGATTGATCTATATGTTTTGAACCTTTTGAAAAAGGAAAGGAATATATTTGTATAAATGTAGAGTAGCTGAAAAAGACTAGCTACATTTACGTGCAAAATTTCCCTTCTAAACCTTGGTTGATCGAAAATTAAAATGTTCTGTTTACACGGACACTGAATAAAATGATCCTATCATGAGGTGTGTTTACATGTACCAAGGATTTGATCCCATTAAATCATCTGAGCATGTGGAACTGTCTTGTTTTCCAAAAACCCTTTGGTAGTAGAAGAAGCTGCCTGTTTTCTAAACAAACCAGTTATTTTCCACTAATCCTCATCCTTTTTTTTTTTTCATTATGGACCTTCGCTGCATCACACTTTTGTTTTTGGTGGTCATTTTAGTTAAGGGCTCAGCGATACCTTATGCTAATGCTCCTTTGTTATGGGGTAGAGGGGGAATGGCATGTTCATCCACATACTACATTTAGAGCCACCTCCTCCTCCAAGGAGAACCAGGAGCCAGAAAATGAAGGCTGGTAAAGAGGAAAACGTCACAGTGATGTTGCACACATGCACAGAGGAGGTGATTTTACTCCAAAGATACTACTAGGTGTGTAAGTGGACACCATTTAGACCAAAACAGATTAGAATCTTAAGTCTGAAATGTTTATATGACACATTTGTGATATGAACAATCCTCCACTACGATTATTTGTGTCCATGTAACTGAGCTAGTGTTTCCCCTTTGCTGCCTCTGGTAAAAAAAAATCTTTATAAAAAAAGCAGTCCTAGAGTTTTGTTTAGCCCTTTTCACCCAGACTAAGCATCATGGGTCCAAGCAGAGCTAAATTTAGAGCAGTCTAGAAAGCAAACAGGAAGTTTTGTTTATTTTCTAGTGAGTTAATAAGTCAAAATCAAAGAGTTGATGGGTACAATTTAAAATCAGTTCATGATTTCATAAATGAAAGATCAGAGGTGTTAAATAACGAAGTACAAATACTTTGTGTACTTAAGCACACTTTTTAGGTATCTATACTTTACTCCATTACTTATTTTTCTTCCTACTTCTGACTTCTACGCATTACATTTTCACACAAGTATCTGTACTTTCTATTCCTTACATTTTTCTTACTCGTTACTCTTGGCTTCAGTTTAATGTCTCTAAATATTTATTTCACGTCATGTGCGCCATCTAATGCAGATCATTGGCACCATCCACATCTAGTGAAAACAAGTGTAATTGGATGAGTCGTAACTCAAACACTCATTGGTTAGCTATTCGTCAAATTTGTGCAGACGGCAAAGGAAATCATCAGAAGCAAGCAGGTGTTCTTCAAACTGCAAACGTGAATTGTCTATGCCATGCTACAATGTCGGATTCAGAAAAAGATGTTGAAATGTCTGAAAGGTCAGACACAGGCGAGAGCGTATCGGGAGATGGACACTGAGACCAAAATCCTTGGCCCTATCTCAAAGAAGTTTTTTCGAAATAGTTGAAAAATTAAGCTTTTAATTCATATAGTGGCATCTGGCTGTTTTTTTTGTTTTTTTTTTTAAAGGTTACTTTATACTTTTATACTTTAAGTAGTTTTTGGAGCACATATTTTCACTTTTACTTGAGTAAAGAGGTCAAGTTGTTACTTCAACTTTTAACAGAATGTTTTTAAACTGCAGTATTCATAGTTCTAGTAATGAATGTGTGTACTTTTGACACCACTGTCAAAGATTGAGTTTGCTAAATGAATATAAAAGAGCTGCATTTAATAAGCACCATAAAGATATAAACATGAAAAAGTAGATACTTCCCATTCTTAGTATCTTTTTTTTTTAATTTTTTTTATAAGTTTACAGACGGTGAAAAAAGACCATCCTCTTCCTGACCATGTCAGACCTTGAAGCTGACAAAATGATGAGAACTCATTGGGTTTTAATATTTTTTTCATTGCAAAGCAATGTAATCAGGAATCCTGGTCCAGTGGGGGTTATTACCTGAAGGAAGTGGATGAAGTAGCACAGAACCAGACGGTTCAGCTCTGGGAGGGACTGCACCACAGCTATGGCTGCCACCGGGTCATCACAGTTACTGATGCACTGCTTGTAGAAGTCCATTGGGATCAGGGGCTCCTCCAGCTCACGGTACCACAGCTTCATCAGAGAGGCTTCAAAAGGAAACGTGTGTCAATGAATATGTTTAAGACCCGAGTGTTAACGGGTTAAACAGATCTAACCCATACCAGGAACATTCGGGTCAGTGAGATTCTCTGGAATCCTCCACTGGTCCACTTGGAGCTTTAATGCATTCACTTCATCAATATCTCCGGGCACTCTGAGGAAGAAAAAAAAAAAAAACACCATAAGCAGGGTTTTTAAAAGCCAATAATAGTTTTTATTTATCTCAAAGTTAGGCCTTTATGAGCTTTTTAATGTGCATAAATGTTCCATTCTGGATCCTAACTGACATTTAGAGCAGACTTCAGCAGCTGGGGGTTATTGCATAATAGAAACATAAGCCCAGACGTCTACACTGGAACGGATTCTAAAGCTTTTCTGCATCATCAGGGAAATCAAATAAAAGGTTCTTTCCATGTTATTCACAATTTTCCTTCCGTTCTTGAACGTCTTTTGATCGAAGCAGGCGCTGCTTTAAAGACCTTCAGCCTACTTCATGTTGTCAGACAGGTTCTATTCTATTTTACTGAGGTTGGATTGGATTCAACATTTCTGTTTTAGTAAAACAACAACATAAATAAATGGGTTTGTGTTTAAATGTAACAAAAATGTTTATCTTTTTCTTTTCCATAGGCCTGCAACCCACTAAAGCTTTTAAAAACCCCAAAGTGCTGTTACCCTCTGTGGCCACTAGAGGGACGTGTGCTTCTACTCCACATATTTCTTATATTGCTTTAGGTTTACATTTGTTGCAGATTGGTGCAACAAAGATAGAAATCAATCTAACAGCCATGCAGTCAACCCTTCTTCCACTAAAGATGGGAAACAAAGCCAGAGATGTTCTCCAGAAATGTTCCTTTACAGAATACAGGGTCCTCAGTAAGGGGATCTGGTTTGTATACATGTGGGGATCATAGAGAATTCAGTCTCACTGAAAACACCGCTGAGAGCAGCTTGGTCAGTACAGTAAACACATATCAGCTCATATCAAATTACACAGCGCCGTTCTAAGGAGCAAAGCACGGCTCTGTTTATTGTGTCTGTTTGTGTGCTGTAGAGAGACAGGGACTGTGTAGAGATAAAAAGAACATGAAGACCACACACACACTAACTATAGAGACTAGAACCTATATATGCATGTAGTTGGTAAGAAGTCCTTCTAATTTGCTACACTACAGCTCTGTCCCGTCGCTCACATGGAGGCGGGTCGTTGGATCTACTTTACCTGAAGATGCCCTCTGTCTGAGCCCCACCCAGAGCCAAGACATACTGGGACAGCTGAACCTGCACCCAGGGTAGCTTCCTGTCTGGGAAGAGCTCGCTCTGCCTCTCCATCACTTCCTCTAGAGAGCTGCCAAAAAGAGACGGGGTGATGATAGCCCGTCTGCTGTGGTCGATCTCCTCCAAGGTGGGCTTACGAAGACCCTGGAAGGAAACAGGGAAGCAGTGGAAGATTTACAATCAGAGTATGTCAGAGGATTGTCTTACTAATCATGGCTGTGCCTGCAGCTGCTGTGACTGGTTCTGTTTACGTCTCCACCGGTGACTGTTCCCGTACACCTGTAATTATGGCTCCCTGTGAGACGGCAACCAGGATGATTCACCTCAGGTTCTCACCTCTCAAACTGATACGCATCATGACCTACACACATTTGGTTTAAAAACCACACTTATCCTGCCTTTCGTTTCAACAGTTCTGAGTCTTTTCAGTTTATTTGAAAGGTCGAGATTAAAACCCTTAATCAAGGGCACACTAAAATCAACAGCATGGTTGAAAAGATAAACTGATCAACATGGATGGATGGATGAAGGGATAGATAAGTGAATTCAACAGAAAAAGGATGGGAAAACATTGAAAAATTTCACTCTTAATAAGAAAATTTTTTAAATAAATCCCTTGTTTTCTCTGCTCACCTTTTTGCCTCCTGTGATGGCCACCTTGAGCAGCTTCCGATGGCAGAACTTAGCATAGGTGCTGATAGGAAGGCCTGGGGAGAAAAGAGCAGGCCAGTTTATGACCAAAGAAAACCAACTTTTCAGGAAACAAAACACAAACCCTTCACTCCACCCTCAAAAGATCCCAAAACAAAAAAACTTAAAAAAAAAAACTGTAGAGGGGAGTCAGTCATCACTGAATGCACCAAACAACAAATCATTTAAATTCTTTCCCATGAACAGCAACAGCAGTGTTTTTATTTCCCACAGATGTCAGACAGAGTTCGGGCAGCAGGCGGCGGTAACTAGAGAGACATGTTGATGGTGCGACCCTGGCATGCAGGGATTAGAGCGTACCCGGTTAAACTGTCAGGCTGAGCTAAGATTTACTGCTGTTGAACAAAAGCCATTCATCTAACTCTCAAGTGATTCATCAGCTCTACACTTAAAGGCCTCAGGAGAGCATAGGAAGCACTGGAGCTTCCTGCCCTGAGTATCCCTCAGATCTTTTAGGAGAAATGCATTAGAAGAGCCATTTCCAAAAACCGGATGCACCTCAAGAATCAGATCCGGCAGAAAAGTACCTCTAAAAACTCTTCAATGAAAAGCAAAAAGAAACCCCCCGACATTCAGGCAGGGAAATAATCCCCATCTCTCCTCACTTAGGTAACGTAAACCAAACACTCTACTCTTGTGGGTTTAACGTTGCTCTCTGATTCCATTCATTGAGGAAAAGGAGAAACCATCTGGGGGGATTTCAGAAGCAACAAACCTCCAGCCTGATGTCAAACCTCTTAGATTTATTGGAAACAGGTGACTGTACAAGATCTTAATCTAATAAATATCAGACTGTAATTATATTGATTAAGAACAATAATTTGTCCTTGATCTATATAATCTTGTCTCCCAACATAGAAGCCTATTCCTCAGAGGGAGAGACGACCTGCTCTGCTGGCACTCGACACCGTCGCTGTATATTTGCATCAGTTTTGATTCCATCAGTGCAGCAACAACCAAGCAACCAAAGCCTGGGAGGAATGGGAGCTCATTAAAGGCTTGACTGGTGCTGAACCAGGCTGAGAACACGACACCAAACAACACGCACTAAAATTACACTCAACAACAAACATACAAAGTTATTCCAGGATGATGCAAAGGAGAGACTACCTCTGTCTCATAGTGACTGTTTATGGAACGGATGAAAACAAACCTCTCTGGGTTTCAGACTAAAATGGTTCTGAAGCTCTCTCTGAAGTCACCTGTCTCCATATTAAACCTGCAGCGCTGCTGATCACAGCTCCTTCTTAAAGGATTCGGGCTCTTTCAAAGTGTGAAGCCTTTTAATTGACAGATAAAGTTGTGAATAACTGAAGTGGGATGAAAATCGTAGATGGGTTTTATATGAAAGGTCTTCCTCCTGGATTCAACAATAAAAACACCTTCTAATGTCAATTACAGAGCAAGTCTATTCGAGTACATTTACTACACTGCATTCTACCTCTAGAAGGCTGGAAATATTGGTGATTCTTTTTTCATTAGAGCTCAACCTCAGTCAGAATGGATGTGATGTAAATCCTGAGCCAGATTCTTAGGATGTTGGACTGAGCTTAACCTGGGTCACTGACACTAATCGAAGCCCTTGGTTGGAAACTGTAGCTCTGATAAAGTTTCAGCTCATAATCTTGCCCCCTCAATCGTCCCCTCAGCATGATACTGCCGCCATCGTGTCCAGGAATGTTTTCAAGTTTTTTCCCCCATTTTCCATACAAGTTACCTACTCTGTTCCTTGTATCAAGCCATGAACAGGACCTTGTATCATTTAAAGACAACAGTCAGCAGATTCTTGAGCTTTGGATCTCTTCAGCTCCTACAGAATTACCTTTAGCTTTCCGGCCTATTCACTTCTGGTAACTGCTCTTCTGATTATTTCTCATTTAGCTCGCTGTAGTTTTATCCTCTATTTTTGGAAGAAAAAAGAACAGGGCTTTAATGTTGAAGCTCTTGCTATTCTTTCAAAGCATTAAAACACCTCTTTGGTGTTCTCCTTGCTCTTCAAGATGCAGTTCATAGTAAAGGGGGACTGAATTATTATCCTTTTTTTCATAATTATCTGCCCATTTGTGTCGGTTGAATGAAACTTGTTAAAGATGGTGGTAAAATAAGTTGTGAGAATTACTTTTCCATCTGTCATCTGACCAGTGGCATTCTCTTTTGACCTTTTAGTCAGCTCGGCTTTGTTCTGTGTGAATCTGAATCTCTGAGGCACAATATGAGGCCTCGGTAGGGGCGCTTAGCGGTTGATGACTCCTCCTCGGTGACATCATCCAAGTCAAAGGAGTTAGTCAAATGAAGACGCGTGCTGATGATGAGGATGGTTCACAGAGCCGATCACAGTGGCTGTAAAGGAGCATCTGAAACTCTCCTCTTGTTTAACTTTCTGTGAAACCCACTGGCTGTGTGCCAGGAAATCATCTCGCACTATGACAAACTCCACCGCGCTGAACTTTCCATCCCACTTACAGCGCTCGCTCTACAGGGAGTGATGCGTTTGATTTGCAATGGTTTTACATATTTTAGTGACTACAGACAACTTCTGTAGAGAGTAGAAAACCACGTGTGGGTCTCCCAGGATCCTTAAGCAGGGATCCAACAGAAACGCGTGTGCAATTGGGAATTACTGAGGAGGGCTTCTTGGAAAAAGCAGCATTCTGAAAACGATGAGTGAAAAAACATACCTTCTTCTTCCTCCGTGTTCTGTTTCCTCTTTTTTCTGGACTTTGAATTTTTCTTCAGTTTTAGTTCCTGCTGTTCCAAAATAAACTGTGTCACTATGAACACAAAGAGAGCAAACATCAGTTTTCTGGTGGAGTGGAGATCAAGCAGCATTAAAAAATACAGAAAAGATCTACAGAAACAAATGATTAAGGGAAGAAAAAAAAAATAATTCTGCTAAAAAACAAAATCGGTGATGCTGGTGTAAACGGGGAGGAGCAGACAGAAAGAAAGGTGACCCACCCTGTGCCTCAGTCTGAGACTCACATTTCTTGTCGCTGTTGGGCTCCGTGTGTCTCTGGATGTAGCCCTCCAGGTAGCAGCGAAACTTGGGCGAGGGGGCAAAGAAGGCCAAGCTGACAGCCATGAGCTCCCAGCCCGCCGCCAGGCTCCGGGGGCTGGCGTTGCCTGTGGTCTGTCTCACCAGCTGCACGTAGAGCTCATCCCGCAGCCCCGGCATGTCCCAGCACTTTGTGACGATGAGCAGCGCGCAGTGGCGGCGGTCGAGCCGCGAAGGCCTGTCTCCCATGTAGGCCTGAACCAACTTGAACATCTCGCAGGCCTCCTTCCTGATGGCGCGGTCGCTGGTGACCAGCATTGGCTTCTTGATGGACCCGCGGTTCCAGGATAACATGTTGGCAATGGAGACGCGGCGGCGGAACAGACCTTGCGTGTGCATGTTGAGATGCTTGCTGGCCCAGTCCTCCATGCCCATGTCAGGTGGTGGAGGCTGCCGTAGGGTAGCATAAGAGAGCTGGTAGGAGGATCCTCCTCCACGCCCTCCTGCCCCATCCGCTCCTTCTCGGTTGTCGTGGCTGGCAGAGCGATGCGGACCTAGTGAAGCCGTCCGTCCATCCACCATGCCTTTCTTCCTGCTCTCCAACTGAGCCTGCAGCTCTAGGGTTCCCGCCTGCGAGGGAGAGAAGAGAACGACGCGAATAAGAGAGGTAGAAATATTAAGGGGGAGTGGGAACTAAAGATACAAACTGATGGTAGCTGCATTCTTCATTGTGTCACACCAAGAGCTGGGCTGCTTTTCACCTAATACTCTCCTCTCTGCAGAGCTGGGACTCCAGGGAAAACTGGAGCACGATCGGCACATTCATTTTCTAATGCTTGATTCGTAGCCAGATAAAAGTAGATTCTCCTAAACACTGGCTACAAGTCAGTAGAACAGTCCTAACCTCTCCCCTTCCCTGCATCAGTCAGACCTTAACAAAGACAAAAAAAACAACAAAAAAACCCCTCTTCCCCAGACCTCCCTCTGAACTTTGCGGTAGAGTAAACCGGAGCTGTGCCTCCTCACCAGAGAAGGCCAGGAACAACACACACCACGAGCCAAAGCTCAGGTTTTATCGTAGAACGTAAAAAGCAGCAACATGTGGTGTCACTGGGCCTTTGGGGAGCATGAAACGATGGAAAACTGGATTATAGATTTGGGTTTTCAGTTTAATGTGAGGTTTGGATCGAAACAGTTCACAGCGCTCTTTGACCGAATTAGAGACGTTAACTCTTCATGAGGGACGGTTATCATAACAAGATGCCTTTAGGTTTTAAAAAGTTATGTTACAGGAAAACTGAAAGCTATTTTTCATGCTACTCAGTAGAGTTTAAAGCCTGTTTAATAAGGAAAGACAGAAAGCTCTAGACCGAGTTTTCTCTAGCAGTAAAGTAATGCTTGCCCCACCCCCACGTGTTACTGAAACTTTTCTTTTTATAACTTTGGTTGTTTTAATATATTCCAGTTAGCCAAAAAAAAAAAAAAAAACGACCTATTTCTTTAATAAGGTAACTTGTTTAAGTTATCAAGCTACAGAAATTTCGGACTTTAAAAAAAAATATTTGAGTTTTACGTAAGACAAGAAATTCTAACTTAATATGAATAATTAAAAGCTCCATCAGTGAGTTGTTTAATAAGTTAAATATTCAAGTTTTTTTTTAGCCCTTTACATATTAAGTGATTTTATATCCCCTAAAGTTTACCAAACTTTAACACCTTGCAGGATAGAAATCTTAAACCATAAATTTAGAAAAAGATTTAACCAAATACTAAAACCCCAGCTTTCAAGCCAAACATTGTTTAATGTGAACATTTTGACATGATTGAAGTAGACAAAACATTGACAGAATTTTTATTTTTTAAATAATACACGAAATATATACTAAGGCTAATTAAGGACCTGTAATTTAAAAAAAAATTCTAGTTCTTTGCAGATAAATTTGTACATTCAGAGCTTGTTTATTCTACATTTTGACTTGCACCCCTTTATTGACATCCTCCTGATGAGAAAAATGCTTTTTATTTTCATTGGTTGCTTGTGCTTAACAAGCAATAACAGTTTCCTTAAATCTTAAATTAAGCAAATTATCAGGTAAAAAGTTCTATAGCAAGGGTTTAAAAGTTAACCATGAATAAATCATGTTTATTTTTGATTATATAAGGAATGAATGGTTATTTTCTATTTAAAAACAATAAATAAGTTATTTTGACCAAATAAGTTAAATAAGATGAATGTTTCATACTGGGTCATGACTATTGACCTGTGAAGAGCCGATCCAGCTTAAAAAAGAAGAACCAACACTCATTTATTACTGCATTTCTGAATGGTATTACATTCTCTATGATATTTATTTATTTTAATGTTTTTTTTGAGCTGCGATGGACTGGCGATCTGTCCAGGGTGTACCCCGCCTCTGGCCCGTAGACAGCTGGAGATAGGCACCAGCACCCCTCACGAACCCGCTTTGGATAAAGCGTGTCAGAAAATGGATGGATGGAAGTTTTCTTGGATTTTTTTGGCACTGGTGGCTCGTTTTTGGACAGTAAGCTGACAGGAAAGGGGGTACGAGAGAGGGGGAAAGACACGCGGCAAAGGACCACAGGCCAGATTCGAACCTGACATGGGTCGTGTGCGCCAACCCCTGCGCCACCAAAGCACTCCCCATCACCTATGATATTTAAATCCAACAAGTATAGGATTGAGCTGTCAGCAGGTCAGAAGAACATTCCAATAGAGACTTAAGGGGCCAATGCTCCTTCGGGTTTTGAAACAGGCAGGAGCTACAGTGGTACCGTCTTACATCGGTACCAAACTGCCTCTCTCCTCCTCTTCCTCCGCACAATCCAGGGACATATGGGCCACAGCAGTCCTTCTTCCTGACCAAAGGAGGCCATGTCCTGAATCTCTCTAGCCTGGCATGGGCCTCGCTACCCAAGCACAGAGCTGCCATATGAGTTTAGAGCGCCTGCAGTGCAGGGCAGATGGACAGCCATAAGAGGATGACTGCTATTGCTGCAACCATTGCCTTTACTGTTAGACCTATATGTACTTTACTCTTCCCTACAGCTTTATAAGGACATACATACGTTGTTATGCCTCATATCTAAACTGGGCATTGTTATAGAATAAAGAAGGCAGTAGCTAATCTGGTTGAAAACATGTCGGCGTTGATAATAGACAGGATGGCTGTGGGAAATAAGTAGGCATTACAGATATGCTTAACACAGCAAACCACTGAGGGAGTTACTGCCCTGAGCTGATAAAAGGCCAAAGTAGGGCCCACCTCTACAGTCAGGCTCTGCTCCTTAACATCCTGGGTTAAATGCCTCACCCAGAGAGATTGCTGTTATAAATCTTTACAGAATAGTAATGAAGATGAACTTTGATCTCCTAGCACTGTAAACTGAATAGAAGACAATTATTTCACCTGGTCTTCATTCTACATGTATAGAGATTTGATGAATCAGACAGACAAGGGTTAATGGGCGTCAACACCAGGTAAAAGGGTTAATAAACAGCTTACTTCCAAGCTGTTCTTACACGCTTGACTTTATATGTTTAAATGTTTTAAGAGGTAAAAACATTTCCCTTTTGCAGAAAGGTTTCTTTCTGCAACTTTAAATATAACCCAAAAATATTCAGTGATATTTAAAAAAAAAAACATCTAAAAATCAGTCAGCAGGTACATTTCTGCTCGGCTAAACAATTTGTTCATTGTGCCTTTGAGGAACTAGAAGCAGGCACGTCTATAAATGCCAACAAGTCATAGATGAAAACAATAATGCCTTATTCGAGCGCAACCAGAGGCCTCACTTGGCCAACTAACGCTTTTCTTATCCAACAGTTAATCTACGGAGAAATCAGGGATCAGAGCTCCACCAGCTTAAATATATTTAAGCTTTTTAATGACATACTAAAGACAGCGTCAGATTAGCAGACACGTTTATTCATACAGCTACAGACTAGAAATGCCTCAAGAAATAGAGTGCTGATTTGGGCAATTTGCAGCTCCACTGGCTCTGGTCTACCAGGTCACACTGACAATTACTCTGTTCCAGAGTGAGAAAGGCTTAAAAGTTGCTATTTTCTACATCAGTGAGGTGTTTAAAATGTAAAACCAGGTCAAGGAGGAACAGAGCCGTAACAGGCCATCATCAAGCTACTGTATATAAACTGCAGCTGCAGAGATCAAGCAGGGAGAGACGGGTTTTAGGCAGATAAAAAGGAAAGCTAAATGTATTCTAGTTTGGTTTTATTGCAGCTTTTACCCTCTGCCTTTCATGGAGCATGGATTATTAAAGGAACAGTGACCTGCAGGTTTGAGAGGATGCTGCTTCAACCCCAGTTACCTCCTCATCGTGTTATCAAGTTATGCAGAGGTCTGCTAGCTAATTTGTAATAGAAACAGATTTATGTTTACAGTTAACAATGCTAACCGCTATTATAGGTTGTAAAATATTAACATCAATGAATGTTTGGCTTTGTAATGAAATATTTGGTAAACAATAAAACCTTGGCGCTCTGATCAGCCCATCTCTCCAACCAATAACTAGTAGATTACCTGTGATGGTGGTCCTGGTGTCTCCGGTGATGAAAGGCTGGCCTGGCTGTTAATGCTCATCTCCAAGGTATCCACCTTCTCATAGGTCCTCTTTTGCCTCCCTGGAACATCCACTGGGGTCAGAGCAGAGGGGCCATAGTTAGCCATCCCCTTTAAGGCCCGCGGAGCACCACTGATGTCCTCTTGTGATGGACACCTGCCTGTAGAGCTCCCTCCTCCTCCAAACCACCTGAGCGAGTCTGCGGGGGAGCGTGTGCGGGGTACAACCCCCCTCTCCCCCATTTCTGGGTCCAGCCCAGCTCTCACCTCTCTCATGGTATTGGAGCGACTCACCACCTCCCTCATTTCTGCCATAAGTCTCTCATTTAGGGCGCTAAGCTCTCCGCTGCTTCCTACCGACCCCGGCCTGCCCCCTGCCACTCCACCGGCTCCCACCCGCCTCCTGCTTTTTCTTCTCAGGCTTGGAGAGGGCCCTGTGGAGTACCCAGAGTCCTGGTAGTTGGCTGTGGCCTGGGGAGTTGTGGACGGGAAGTCCTGCGAGGCCTGGCTGCTCTGCCTGCTGTGTCGTGCATCCATGGCACGCTGCACAGTGGCCTCTAGGATCCGCCAATTATGCTTTTTGTCCAGCGAACTCGGTCCCGGGGTTCCTGGCTCTCTGTCCCTCGACTGACCTCGAGACTGCTGTGACGGGTGTGGCTGTGACTGGGGCAGAGTCAAAACACGGTCCTGTCTGGAGGTAGGGGAAGCAGCTCGTGTGGGCAGGGGGGAGCTGTTTGGAAGCCCCTGTTTGGGGTCCACGTTGACCATGTGCTTGATGCACTCCAGACCAGCTGGGCTGTAGTCAGAGGAAGAAGGGTCTCTCCGGTGTCTAGACCCCAGATGAGAGGAGGCTGGGTGTGGGAGGAGTCTAGGCTTTTGAAGACTTTGAGTAGGGGTCAAACGAGACAAAGGTTGTCCATTATACAGGTGGGCCCCCTCTACTTCCATATCTGTAGGGGGTTCATCATATATGGGACAGTCTAAAACTGGTTCATCGTAGATCGGGGCGGTGCAACCATACTGAGGAGAGACAGGGCGAGGGGTGCAAGTCTGTGACCTATGGAGGAGTGGACTGGGGTGGCCGCTGTCTGATGTCACCAAACAGAAGCTACCGTTACTGGTTTTCCTTATGTGATGAGCCGGACGTGCATCACTGGCCATTTTGCCAGCAGGGGCTGTTTTATATCCCTGGCTGGAGTTCAGGTGTCCTCCGTGGGATTTGCTGCAAGAAGGGTGCAGGGAGGCAGTGCTGGTTTTGATGTGTGTGTTGTGCTGCAGTGGTGGGACGGGCTGGCTGCGCGGCATGCTGTTCACCTTCACCAACATGGCCGCTTTAGAACCGGGAGTAGGCTGCCATCTCTGCGAATTATCCCTGGAAAGAAATCCATGAGATTTGAGTTAAGTGAAAGCAGTAAAGCATCTGAAAGCTAAACAAACCCTTAAAAGACAGTCATAAAAGCAGCATCATTATATATGATAAGTGCAGGCATGAGAGCGCTGGGAAAATCTGCCATAAAGTCTTTTGCAAACATTTCCCTAACCTCTAAAGACTTGAGTCCATTTTTAGCCTGGCAGTCAACGCAGCCCTGTCAGAGCCACAATAACTTCTGTGTGCGTTTAAAAAAAAATTATCAAAAGCCTAAAAATACTGAGTGGCTGAACAAAACACATCCCTCCTAAGGTTGTCCTATTAGGTGTGACTCATGTCTGAGGGACAAACTCGAGTCGTGCAAAATATTTACTTTGAGTCATGTGTAGATGATCAGACTCTGCTATGCTGCATCACTGAAGAGACATTTGAACTATGATACAAACCACAGAGATCTGGATGAAGTCAGGACCACAGTTACTCACAGATGGGGCTTCTCTCTCCCTTTTTGGGTGGAATGACCAAGCAAACTTCAAAGCCAAGAGCCGGCTAATCCCAGCAACGCTAAACAATCTGCCATCAATCTGGTCATGCTGCCCTCATTGCTGCTGTTGCCTTATAATCCTTGACTGCAATCTCATCAAAATGTGACCAACTTCTGTGTCTAAAAACCAACACGAGTCTTTTTTTTTGGCTTAGTAGAAAGGGGCTTTAGGCAAATGGGTTTAGATGGAGACCAGGCAGACTTACCTTCTCACACTCCAACCTGGTCCAGGACGGTAATTAATTACATCAAAGCCGATCATCTGAGTAAATCCAACCAAACAGATCAGTGCCGGGCTTAGAACTAGTGGTTCAAGTGTCTCTTCACCAGCAGCAAGCAGATTTGAGTTGGGTTGTAACAGCAGGAAGAGGACGCTGAGGGAGGAGAGTAGGAGGTGGAAAGAACCCCCCTCCTCCTGCCCCCTACGTCTCTCTGGAACAATGCTGGAACAATTCCCTAGAGGTCCCTCACACCAACGGCAAACTTCCTTCAGTCCTTCCAGCTACAGCATGGCCCTCCATCTCTCCATCAGGACCCCCCACCCACTTACACACACACACAGAGTGAGTCATGCTGCCTCACAAACATCCTAAGACACACCCACAGATTTACCGTCCAGGCATGGGACCAGGAAAACAACCTGTTCACCATAGAGCCTCTTCCTCACCAGTTAAACCAGGATGTTTTATTGCCCACCTAACACATCCACAGACAGACACGTGCGACAAAACGCCACCGTTCTAGTGTGACTGTATTAGGTTACAGAGGGTGGTGGGGTGACGAGCAGCAGCTATAAACATGTGGAGCCACTGCCTGCTCTCTTTGAAACAAGGGGGTTTGTTTTCTCACGTTAGTCTCATCAAACAGGAAGAGGAGCCACCTGGGCAGGTGACGACAACCAGGTATTTTAGCACCGAGGAAAATAATAAGCCAATGGTCTTAAAAACAGGTTTCCCTGACAAATAAAAAAACATCTCTGGGGTTAATGACATTGCCTTGTGAATAAAACATGACTGTATATTTGGGTTGTGACTAATTTTCTGAGGATTGACCCCGAGAGAGAAGTGACCACTACTTCCTGTCTGGAGAATACAGAGAAAGGGCTTCCCTTTATTCTGTACAAACAGGAAATGCTTCATGTGATGTTCACACGCTGCAGTCATGGAGCAGTGCAGCTTCTTCACACATGTGGAAGAACGCAGGGTTTCATTGTGACGTAGAGGGAAAAATAAATAAATAAACCAGACATAAAGGCCCAGGAAGGTTGTAGGAAACTAGCTTTGAACTTCATCTCATTATGCCCCAAACAGAACAAATGCAAAACTACCAAAACAAGGAGGAACTGATGGCAAGATGGATTTTACTGCTTTTAACGGTTGATCTGTAAAGCACAGCTGCATTATTATAGTATTTTCATTCATCAAAACTCGGAAAACTATCTTCATATTTCTTGTAATTGACTATTTTGTGCTGCCTAATAAATGGTGAGGTTTGTGTGATCTATTAAATAAATGCTTAGCAAGTTCTTCAGGGCTCCTCTGATTTTAGGGCTGGATGATCACCAATGTAAACTAAGTAAAAACCAAGAATTTTCAGAACTAATTCCTACAAAAAAAATTATTTACCATATTTATGAAGCTCCTCAAAAAGCACATTTAAGACACATTTGCTTGAAAAAAAAAAAAAAATGCTGTATTTTACAGACTGTAAAGCACACTTCAATATAAACCGCGGCCACTAACATTTTTGGGAAGAAAAAAAAAAAGGAAACTTACACATATAAGCCAAACCGGGCTATAAGCCGCTGATATCTACTAAACCGTCACCCACCCAACCTGTAGGTGGAGCTCTACATTTAGCCGCTAGAGTAGGGACAAAGAAGAATGCTAACTCCCGTTAGCCTGTAGGCTCGCAGCAGTAAGAGCTTCTATTTCAGCTCTGCAGGAGTCGAACCCTGTCTCTTCATTGGTTCGGCAGCATTAACGGCAAATAAATGGCAAAATGTGCGAATTGGGGACATCTGTTCTCCGTTGTTCCTGCTGCTAGTATGTTCTTGTGCCAAATGAAAATTAAGCCCTTATTCTCTCATTTCCAACTTTGACTTCCTCCTCGGTAGTTAGGAAAATAAAAGTTGCAACTTCTTATAAGCTGCATGGTTCAAAGCGTGGGAAAAAAGTAGCGGCTTATAGTGTGGAAAATATGGTACATAGGACCACCTAAACTAAAATTATATTGCAACATTTCATTATTGTCATAAACACAGGTTTCTAAGGCCAATGCAGATTATTTTTTATCAGTTTAATGGTAGATTTTGTTTTCTCTTCTTCCATTTGCACGATAAAAATTACAATGATAAATGTTATACAAGTCTAAATTTGAGAAAAAAAGAAAAACAAAGACCTTCATTAAATTAAACATTATCAACAGGAAGGGAAAGGAGGTAGAGGCAGTGCATGTGCTTTACGTGATCCCAAAGCATAGCTGCTGAACACAATGAATCGACCAATCCAGCTGATGCAAAACTTATAGACCAAAAATATCGGCTGGCCAATAGTACATTTACCCAGCCTTAGCACATAGGCCTCAAGATGACTATCAAAATGATTTCACCCCAACATAAAGCTGTAAATTGTATCCAGTTTCTTTTTTAAGGCTTGTAATTTCGCTGCATACTACTGTAACCCCAGTTAATGAAAGGTCTGATTCCAAAATCTGGACCAACACAGTGCTGAGAAAACCCAAAGCTACATGGGGGTGATTTTGGTAATTTTAGTGTAGAGAAACAACACAGTGTGTGTGTGTAAATGAGAAGGGGTGGGGATTAGTCGTGGGAGAGTGCAGCGAGGGAATGAGCGGGAAGGCTGGAATTCCTCAGGGCTCTTTCAGGGGTCTTTGTGGCAGTGAGTCGAGCCTAACACAATGCATGGCTGTGCCATCGTCACGGAGACGCCGCTCTCAATGGTAGCAATGGAGATCAAGAAGCAGACGGAGAAAGAGCCATCTCTGACCTCTGGTTAGTCCTGCAGCATCCGGGTTACGTAATGCAGAGCAGGCCTGGGCGTCACTCTGACCAACCACAAAGAAAGTGGTTTAGAAAAGGGTTTGTTGTTTGCCTTGTGAGGTGTTAGCCGACAAGAGGCTTTTTTCCCCATTATCACAGAAGTTTACTTGGGTACCTTCAGAATGCTTAGATTATGTGAGAACTGTTCAATTGGGAACAGCCCTCATTTGCAAACCCTTTGGTTCAGAACAAGGAGGTTTCATGTGATAAAGAAATGTTAAATCAGATAAGCTCTGAGCTGCTCTGACAGCAAATGAGTTAATCTGATGAAATAAATCAAGTTAAATCTCAGAGCTCCTTTGAAGGTTTTACCATGCCCATTTCCTTTTTTTTGTGAAACCTATGAATTTCTATTTAGCACATCTGGGTCAGTTCTTTCCAGAAGCATCTTTCACTGGTGGGAGTGGTTTTCCAACAACTTTACTCGTTTGGAGACTGAGATTTTAGCCCATTGTTCTTTGCAGAATAGCTCAATCTCAGTCAGAGTGGATGGACACCAATTTTAATCTGGTCTTGGTATAGATGTTCTGTTGGGTTTAGATCTGAATGCTTACCTCTTTCTAATAAAATTCATATATTTTGATTTAACCAGTTCAACTGTAGTGATGTCTGCATATTAAGGGTTGTTGCCCTGCTGGAAGGTGAACCTCCCCCTCTAACAGGTTGTTATCTAGGACTGCCCTGTATTTAACTCCATCCACCAAACCACAGACTACAATTTCATCTCCCTGTAGTCCAATAGCACCATGCTATTGCTTCCATGGTGTATAAACACTTTAGCGCCCCACTGTACTGCCTTTGGGAATAATCTCAATCTCAGTTTAACTCTGTAACTCGCTGCTTTCAGGGGACATGTCTCAAACAACACTGGAAAAGCCATTAGCCAATTTGCTTCATAAGACAGGAATATGGATTTGGAAATTCCTAAATGTGATGAGAACAGCGAGGTAACAAAAACAGGTTATTATTAACATTTGCTGAACAGGAAGAGGAAATGAGGTCACGCAGACCAGGTTTCTGCTGCACAAACACTTCACAGAGCAGACCAATGGGATCGGTGAAAAGGAAGGAAATTTATGACACAGAGGAATCATTAAAGATGATAACACACCAACCGGCTGGTGTTCAAGGCCGATTTCTAACTTTGACTTTCAGAATCCTTTTTTGAAATATCAAATGACAACATCAACTACCATAAGGGGTTTTTAGGGGGAGCTGGTAGCATCCCGTTTCCTGTAAGAGACCAACAGAGAGCCAGCTGTCCCGCAACAGCTGAAAGGACACACCTCCTTCCCCTGAGTCGAGATGTCTAGCAGCTGTGTGGATCCGAGGCTCCTGCAGACCGGCTCTGAAAGGAGTGCCAGGCTGGGTCAGAGGACAGTCAAGTCGGGTCGCTCTGAAGGAGCAGGATGAAAATCAAACCCAAGTGGATTCCAGTGAGACCAGTCTCCACAACCTGAGAGTTCATCTGTAGCTCTTTCAGCAGGTCCAATAATAGATTATTCGCTGAATCTGTAGTCAGCGTCTACTCCCGGAAATATAATCTGAGACAAAACAGCAACACAACGGCGCTGTAGGACGTAGAAATAGACCTGCTATGAAGGGGTCAGAGCTGAGGTCAGCTGAGACCTGGTGCCATCGAGTCTTTGAGAAATATCACATTCCAGAAGCAGATAGAGCGCGTTTACTGTAAGAACGGCTTGAAAAAAAAAAAAAAAAAAAAGACAAAAAGAGCTGAAACAATAGAGGTTCTGGACACATTGAATGTCTGTAATCGAGCTCTGGAGGATGACATAAACTTTGCAATTATGTGGATGCGAAGGGTTTAAAAATGGAAAGGGAAAAAAAAACAACAAACACTTAGCTTCAACAAGACCAAAGTACAGACCATAAATGCTACAAGCTTTCTTTTTAAGGGAGTAACAAAAAAAGAAAAAAGATTCCTTTAAAAGAGCAGACTTAAAACAGCCTCTATAAAGATCAGTAAAAAAGGAGCTTACCACACCAGGAGAGGGGAGATAAAACAAGTCCTTCCAGTGTGTGTTAAAACTCTGCCACTACGTCCTCCGACATCAAAAGCTTGAAAGACTTCTGCTCTCATAGTAAACGCCAAGCGAATACGTGATTCATTAAAATCTTTATCTAGCCCATAAAACGCGCCCTCATTTCCTAAATAAACCCCAGCAGTGATTCGGCTCGCAGAGCTCACAGCCTCTTACTCACTAATGTATGAGAGGAAGCTGCTTTGTTTTGGATCTTTGTTATATACGTTGGCTTGTGTGCCAACATTTTATTTGCAAAATCCCCTTCAAAACCCTTCCACAAAAACAGAAAGTGAAATACTGAGTCTGGCAGGAAGATGAGTGCTGGTTTATTATGTTAAAACTTAGTTAAATATTAAAAATCCTCTGTATAAGTCAGGTTTTTCTTAACCAATTAAGAGTTTTACGTTTATCAGAAATCTGAAGAAAAAAAATTATAATAAACCTAGACTTTTGTAAAATTTCTAAAAGCAAAAGGAAAAATAAAGAGATTACCACAGTAGCCCCATATATGAATAAATCAAATTTCTCTGTTAACCTTTTCTTTAAATTGAAAACAAAATGACGTTGCTGTCAGAAATTGAAAATGAATGGGAGTTCTTATTGGACTTTGACGGTAACTAAACATAAGAAAAAGAGAGAAGAGGGAGAGACAAAAAAGGGTAGTGGACATTTGAACCCTCGATAAAAATATATCCGACAATTAGCCGTTTCTGCCTCCAGACTGACCAACCAAAAAGCACTTAAAACTGAGATGATAAAACCAATTTCACCAGCTTCTGCTGTAAGAGAAGTGGACCCTACTTGATAAGAAAACCCAGCATTTTCAGGAAATCAAACCTCAACCAGAATGTGACTTTTCATGTGACCAATACTGTGAATTTCTTTTGTTTGATTATTACAGCAATAAATCAGAGGGGATCTACAGGTAAAAAAAAAACCCCCAAAAAACCTAAATGTTGCTCCATTCAGCGTGTGTTAACTTCTTGTTCACCCTGGGGCAGAACCATGTTTAAGAATGCTTTTGTTTCCTGTAGTGGGTTATTCTGCTTCAGGGCCAAACCTAAGACAAAAGAGTGCTATGAAGCAAATGTAAACTACCTGGAGTCACTTCTGGGTGGATTTAAAACAAGCAGTCAACCGTCTGCAACTCTTTTGTGTCCCTATGAACCTCACAGGTGTGCAACCAATAGGAACACGTCCATACTCAGCCACTATGTACATAAACAGAAGCATACACGCCTTTCTCTGGGTTCACTTTGGTTTGCAGCTTGATGAAAACTATGCAGACTGATGTATTTCCCAGGTATGTTATTTTGTTTCTTCCACTTTCCATTCCTACGTCATCTTCCTTCTCACCGGGGTGACTTTTTGCTTCTCCGTGGAGTTCACGGTACTTCCCTGATATACTGCACATGCTTAGATACACAGTAACATGTGATAAGACCTGCTCAATGATTCACAGATCTGGCTCTCAGACAGAATTGAAAGGCAGCTACAGTTGGCGTTGTGAAAGCACCCAAACACAGGTAGACTCTTCATACAAAGAGAACGGAAGACGAGTCGGCTTCATGACTTTTACTAACACTAAGCTGTCAGGAAACTGTTCTGACTGGATGTACTGATGATCCGCGACAAAAGGACAGCCGTTTTGAAAGATTTGGGCCTGCCCCATTTCTGCATTGTTTTTCCAAAGAAAAAAAAAGGTTTTAAAACCTTTTATTCAAACTGTGCTGAAAGAAAAAGGAACATGTAGAGACATGTTCAGAATAGCCCAAGGGTTAAAGCTGAGAAACACAAAAAAAGGGAAATGACCCTTGCATGCATGTGAAATGATGACCAGAAGTAGAAGTGGCAATAACAAGTGGTTCATCTCAAACCAGCATGGAAGGCCCCTTTTCAAGCATTCTCCACGGCCCTGTGTGCGTTTTGTGGTTTCCAATTACCTGCTGAGAGATGGAGGGTGGTGAGCATGTGAAGGACCATATGGCTAATTAGGGTATGCATCCTGTCCACTAAATGCTCCTCGACTTTCTTCATCAGGAGCACAGCTGGCTATTGTTTTAAGGACAGACCAATTTGGTCGAAGACAACTTAGTTGTTAGAGTGGAGGTAAAAATTAATACCGTCAAAACTTTTTCGTCACATTCCAACCGAAAAAATAAAAAATTCATTTTTTCTGCACACTTGCAAAATCTGAAAAGTGTGGAGTACTTTTATTTTTAAAGTATGTGGATGGAATGGAAGAAAGGATTAAAACTGTTTCAATCATCTGACTGGCTGTCAGTCCTACCTACGGAGCGTTTCTTTCCTCTGGCCCAGCAGGGAACTGGAGCGTGGACAGCTTTAGTTTTTACTGCTGCAGCTCAGGTTGAGTATTGGTGGAAACACAACCAACTGGGATCAGAATAGGTGTTAAAGGCCTCACTATGCCCAAATAAGGTCTTTGGAACAGTAAAAACATTTTTTTTGTACATCCATTGTCAGATGACGGACGCAGCTATTAAAGGCCTTTGACACCGACTTAACTCCTCTGCCATCTTTGTAAAGCACCCAAGTATGAAATGGAAGATACCAGCAATGAGAAAGGCAGCGCGAGAAGAAACTAACCCCCCTCAGAAAAGTCTTGGGGTTAGACTTGCTCATAAGCAGCAAGAATGTGGCGGTTCTGTTTGTTATTAACCACCACAACATTCTCTTGCATGCCTCTCATTCATGCACATTAGAGGGGTTACAGTTCTCTAGTGCCCCGAGCCTGGATTTGGTTTAGGAAAATGAAATTAGGATTGCATCTGAGCGGAGCGGTGGTCAGCACAAAGAGGGACACTGAGATAGCCTCAGTGGCCCATAGCCAGGGGAAACAGAAGTGGCATGTCTGGTATTTGACTTGGACGCGGCAAGATGTGGTTTAGATGGGGCCGCAACACCGAGCACATGACGGGGTCTCTGAATGCCTCACTGTTGCTGCTCGTTCTGCACCAGCAACACTGCCGCTGGGGGACACGACGTGCTCTCTAATATAGCTGACCAGTTTTTTTCTTCCCCATTTGGTAGCGATTTGCTCAAATGGGAAAGCACGGTTCACCAGCAATCCTATGGAAACCTGGGAAGTGTGGACTGCACAGATAAGTGAAAAAGAAAACAAAAAAAAGCAGAGACTAACCCACATGGGTAAAAGTCAGCATAATCTTGCATCTTTGCAAACAGCAACGACATCTGCTACGATCACTATCATGTTTCCTCACCCTCCCTCTGGTAACATGAGCCTCTAATGACTAAACCTAATCTGGAATAAGTCCTTTCAGGTTAAATCGCTTACCTCTGCGGGTCTTTGCCATCATCTGTGTCATGTTCAGTGCTGCTTCCATCTCCCTTCGTTCGGCTGTCCATAGCTGGATCCAGCTCGGAGTGAGCTCTTGGCTCAGAGGGCTCCAGGGCAGTGGGGAGCGGGCTGTCACCGTCCCGCTCCGCCAGAGGGGTGCAGCGCCCCTGGCTTCTCACGCTGCCGATGCTGCCGGTGGTAGGGCGGTGGTGATGGTCTTCAGAGACCCCTCCAGCCTGCCTGGCATCGCTGCACCGCTTCATGGCCTGCAGCTGGGAGAGTGGCACTATGTCGGCTCCCTGCGGTCGATGCCAGACCGTGCGGCGCCCTGTTGAGTTGTAGTAGTAGAAGCGGCCACTGTGTGGGTCAAACAGCTCCCACCACTGATTGCCGTCTGCCTGGCGGACAGGAACACCAGGAGGGGGATCCCAGCCGCATTCACCGGTGGTCAAGTTCACATACATGCGCTCCCGGGAGCGTGGCTCCAGGATCTCCACCCAATCAGAGCTGAAGAGAGACAAGAGACAAGGTAAAGAGTTAGCAGCAGGTTAAAACAACTTTCCCCATGGGATACCACTCGCCTTGAGAGCGTGCAATCCAGCCTGAGTACGAATCCTTTGGCAGACAAAGAGGTTCAAAAACACACGTGTCCATATGGACAGAGAGCTCATTTCTGTGCTCCCCGTATGAACCCATCTGTGCCTTTTCAGTGATGTCATCTCTGAACTGTGGAGATTTGGAGTGATGGAGCGTTACGCACGCTCCCACATACCAAGAGACAGGTGGAAATGTCGATGGGGGGCCGAATATGGAGTCAACAGGGCCTGAGCAGAGCCATACGCTCTGGGTGTACCACACAAACCAAAGAGCTCAACTACAATCAGAGGGCAGCAACCGCCAACTCAGCACAATGCATACAGGACACAAAAGAAACGGCAGGAGGGAGGAGGAGCAGGAAACCAACAGATATGTAGGGAGAGCAGGAGAGCAGGAGACAGCGATGCAGGGAGAAAAACCCAAACCAGCTTTTCCTTCCACTGTACTTCAGAAAAGCTTCAACGGTATGAGTTTGTTCATCAGGCTATAAACGACTAAGTTAAGAAGCTTACATATATATATTTATTTATTTAAATATATATATCCTTTAAAAGACCTTTAGAAAAATGTATTTTACAGTTTTGAAGGATTCGACCATATTCAGAGGAAATTATTTGAATTGTTAAAAATAGTCACTGAGAAAATCTGAATTATTGGGGTCAAACTGAAGGAACATGATAAAATGTTGGACCAAAACGTAAAGAACAACTCAGCAAGAGGAACATCTTTACCGGGGTTTTACTGTCTTTGCATGCTGCAAGTAACAAGAACCATTAAGAAAAGTTAGAGCTGCAGCAAGCAAACCATTAAGTGCTAGATACAAGTTTTTAGTGTAGGTGGATTATTCTTACTGCTTTCAGATTTTCACAAACATTGCTTTTTGACTATTCTGATTTCTCTCAAGTTGAGGATTTAAAAGCAGCTTTCAAATAAGACCTCCCATCATGAGCGTCACTTGGTATGTATAACAAAAGCGGAGGCCGCGTCCAACTATGTATAAAGAGGAATAGGTACCGTTGTGCAGCAGTTAGATTTATAATCCATTTAACAATAAGCATTTATTTTCACCTAAATTAACAGAAATTATGATTAAATCATTTTCTTTACTGTAGCTTTCTTTTTTTTCCCTTAGCGGGTTTTTTCAAAAGACAAGTTCACATAATGTTAATGCAAGACTCAAAATGGATGAATGTGATGCTTCTGTTTACAGATGTCTAAAACCCTCCAGTTAGATGTTGAAATCAACATGTAGACATCTTATTTATCAAAATAAAATAAAGGGATGCATGTTATCCTATTTAAAGAGCATGAGAACACTGCTAGGCTGTGTATCCAGGTCACTTACTTACATTAAACTCATTTTTTGTGTCCTTTTTAACTAGTTCACAGTAAAATCCAGCCCAATTCACGTGGGAAAAGCCTCCTGCAAGCAGCCATGTCCAAAACACCCAACGTATAATCTGTTCCCTTCTCTCACAATGAACACTTGAAGATCCTTTCTTTTCTTCAGCGTCCCACCCAACTCCAGCTAAATATCTTTGGCAGAAAGAGCCTGTGGGGATGAACTGGTGTCACCGGAATCTGCGGGAGATTTGGACGCTTTCCCAGCCTGCAGCTCGGGGAAGAAAAGCTTCTCTCCTCTCAGTTGCTCTGTTAGTAGACCTGCTGTCCAGACTACCTGGGCTGCTCAGAAGGAGCAAGGAGCTTAGCGTGGATCAGAGCACCTACGCAGTCCATCAATTACACATATGTGCTCCTTGCTCTCATGCCAACTCTCCACTTGTGTGCTCAACTCGGGGTCCGAAATAGACACTGAAGAGCGGTGCCAGTCAGCTCTGCCAGATTCAAGCCGTCACCCTTCTTGGCTGCGGCCCGATGGGAACAACAGCTGTTCTCCATTTTAGAGGTAAAGCCTTAAGTAAAACAGCGGTACCTGTTCATCCGGGTTTAAGAAGTGAGCTTTATTTAATCTGGTGCCAGAAGCAGCCTCAGGCACTTTGATAAAACACAGGTAAAATGAGCAAACCTTATAGGGACTATAGGGGTCTTCCACATACCATTTTACCATGTGGTCCTGTGGTCTCTGCTGAAACGCCATCTGCTCCCCTCATACAAACCCAAACCTTTTTTAGGACTCATGTCGTTTGATTCTGCCTGCCTGAATCGATAAGAAACCAACATTTCTTACCAAAAAGGGCAGAGAGAACAAACTAATCCAGAGGACAGACGGTGAGAGCAAACTATTAGGAGATGACTTACAGACTGATTAGATCCGCAACACTTCATGGGTGGGACGCCGGGAATATAATGGGGCATTCAAAGCGAACTTAACATTCACACACACACACACACATACCAGAGCCTTCATCCTTTTATTGCTCCCAATCTCTAAATGAGGCGCTCCCACACTGACAAGCTGAGCTCTCAGTGACTCCAAACGTCCAAACAGTGACAGACCATAGCGAGCTGCTGGACATCCTGAAGAGGCGAGCAGCAGAGAAGGATTTGGGGGTCAGCAGTCAGGGATGGGGCCGCAGCAGTTGGGAAGTACTGCTCCCTTTAGGTAAATAAATAGCAGTTAAAGCTGAGAGCTAGCCTGCTGGGCTCTGTTGACACCAGCAGAAGTAGGTACCTTAGGCACTTAACATTAAGGAATAATGGGGGAAAAAAATCTAGAATGTTCCATTAAGAAATCTACTTCAGAAATAGAAATAAAAGATAAGTTTGAATTAATGGGATTACAATTGAATTGCTAAATTGATTTAGCTCAAGGCAAGACATGGTGTAGGTAGTTCACTGATCGATCATGGGGTTAATTTATGGGGGATTTATAAACACCAAACCGGTTGACGTTCCCAACTAAAACTTGTGCTAAAGTCTGTTTTTAACTGGTTCTGCTATTCCACCACCTAAGAGCCAAGCCAAAGTCATTACATCACCATAAACGTCTCATCTAATTAGTGATCCTTCCTCTGTTTTGTTCTGGGTTTGTTGAAGAGCGCAGCACTTTAAGACAAATATTTTACTTATCCCAGCAACTGCACAATCACATGCCCTAATTGATCGCTCATCAGCACCAGAAGCTCTGGAAAATCTGAGTTTAACACAGTTTTTAAAAGGAGGATTAATCAAAACCGTCTGCCGATTTTAAAATGACCAACAGCATTAATGATCGGTAACATTTATGTATTCACATTTTTCCATTCCTGAGCAATACACAGGACTACTTTAACTTAGCGACTCAAAAAATGGAAAAAAAAAAAAAACAAACAAAAAAACAATGTTTTTATTAGCTGTTCCAGATGAATCCCCCTTTAAGCTCCTGACCAAAGCGGAGCTTCAGGCTGTGGAAACAATCAACTGCGGCCCAGTTACCACCACCATCCATTTAGCACTGAAACCAATATGATGGCTAAATTAGACATGCTAGCCACTCCATTTTACCATAATCTATTATACAAGATGCACCACTCAATTCAAAATGTCAAAATAAATATTAGCTTTAAAGTATTAGCAAAAGCTCTGTTGAATAAAAAAATACTCTGTAGCCTATACTGTGTAGGGATGCATCTTCTACTCCTAAAATGACTAATGACCTCTACCTAACATGCAGTCTACAAACTGCAGGATGCTGGAATAACCAGAAAAACAGCATGTATGGATGAAAACATGCAGAATATGAACAAAAAAAACCCCCAAAACATATAGTCTGTTAGAAATCTTGGCAATCTCCTCATAGCAACAAAAAAATTTCAACTAGCATAGTACCTGTAAGTAATATTATCAGCATGTGATGTATGCAAATGAACCACAGTTACATCAGCTCTAGGCAGCGGGGGGAAAAATACAGAGAACAGATGAGGACTCATATCAATGTGCTTCATGCTGCAAATGTTCATAAATGGACTGGAATGCAGTCTGCACCAGCTCGCTGAGGTTCAGCTCCAACAGGAACGCTTTATATTGATCTAAAATTACATGACGTCCAATGCTTGGAGAAAACAGCACCTGATTTACCTTAAAGGGGGGGGGAACTCCAGCTGAAGCAGACAGGTTTCTGTTTCACACTCAGTTTAGGGAATGGAATTTTTTGTCTGAGTTTTCTTAAAGCAAACTCTTAATATGACGGCTTCAATGCATCGCCTGGACTTGTTCACTGAAAAATTGTTTATTATGCATCTAGTGACAGTTCAGAAAAAACTGCTATGAAATCTAATGTTCAGCTTTATTCTAGTGTGGGTTTGAGGTAAGCAGGAGTTGGCTCATGTCCGACACAGGGTCTCCGTCTCTCATTTAGGTCAAGGAGACGCTTCAGCTGCATGCTTATGGTTTTTTTTTTCTCTTTGGCAGCAGCTAAAAATAATACTGCTTAAATTGTAAACCCAGCATTAGGACCAAGAGGGACACATACACCTTCCCAACCTTTATATCAGTCTCAGCCACCGTGTGCCAGAAGTTTTCTGTGGGAGAAATGAGACATCCATCAGAGATTTTACCGTCAGCTCCAAAAATAACTGGGAGTGAGGGCAGTTTCCCAGAGTGAGGGAAACAACAGAACACGACGCATGGAATCTGCCCCATTGTTAGGAGGCAACGCCAAAGTGTAAATGGCACTTTTCCCAGTAGCTGTAAACATAGAGGGCTGGACAATACAGCCTCTAAGAGAAAAAAATAGGGCAAAGAGAAACCATGTCATTGTCCAGCTCTGGGTTTGAATACCAGTGCAGTTGTTGATTTCAACAAAGAGACAAAACAAAGAGAGAGAAAGAATGACTGCAAACCCAGAGAGTAACTGCCTGACCTCCAGCTGTAGGATTTAATCACATCATCAAGTAATGGTTTCATTGCAGCGATCTGCTTCATTGCCACTTTGGCATTTTCTGATGTCCCGATAGGACACCTCCAGAGAC